GATATGGTTAGGTCGTGGTTGGACTTGATGATCTTTAAGGTCTTTTCCAACCTGAGTGATTCTATGATTCTGTGATTCTGTACAGCAAAGCTGTACACTGCTGTATTAGGCAGCGGTGGTAGCAGGTCAAGGGATTGTGGCACTGATGAGATGTATCTGAAGTGCAGAGTCCATTTATGGCCTTCCAGTGAGGAAGAGAGATTACTGTACTTGGGCATCTATCTTTCAAGCATCTATCTTTCAAAGATGGCATAGGAACTATGGTAGTTTAGAGAAGAGAAGGCACAAGCAATTGGTATGTACAGATTCCTTACAAGAGGGAACAAAGACAAAGCCAGACTTCTGGGTACAAAATTGAAACAGGAAATTCCATTTAAATATGAGAAACTTTTTGTTGTGAGGATGATCAAAAACTGGAACAGAATGAGAGAGATTGTAAAGTGTGTCTTCGTGGATGCTCATAACCTGACTGCACTAGTCTTGTGCAGCCTACAGTCAGTTGATGTGCTTTGAGACCGTACAATTTCCAGAGTCCTTCTAGCCACGCTCTTTAGCTCTGAATAAAAGGCTTTGACAGGTGAGAATGTTTTTGGAGAGGCAAGGAATTGGGGCATTGGTGAAAAGGTGGGTAGAATGCTTCCTTGTATCTTGGGAAATAGCAGCTAAGCGGAGAGACTTTTTCCTTTTTTCATCTTACTAGGCTTCAGATGCTTAAAAAGAAAGGGAAAATGAACTCTGTAACTTCACTGACTTTACTGTATAAATCTCAGTTTGTTAACTTGCTTTTGTGAAACTAACAAAGGCACAATTCATTCAGTTTGGAATGAAATACTTTTGTTTGATTTGGTAAATTATCCTATAGGAAAACAAATAACTAAAATAAATAGTGTTTTTGTTATGTGACTGCTTAAAAAACAGGTTCCTATTTTTTAATGTTTGATGTGTTTAAAGATCTGATGCTTGTAATGTGCTTTTGTCTTTGCCATGATTTTTTGAGATACTAGTAGTATTGTGTCATGGCTTAGCTGTTTACAAAGATCTACTGTATGCACAAGTGTTTCATATATTAATGCTTCTGCAAAATTGATATTCTTTTTGTTACTGCCAACAATTTAAAAATTAGTCTTGTGTTCTTCTATGCAGCTCACAAAGTCTCATCGACAAGGTCACATGGTGAAAGTGGACTGGCTGGACAGACTGACCTTTAGAGAAATAGAAATGATCAATGAGGTAGGTCAGTTTACATCAGAGTTGCACTGTTTTGGGGTGGTTTTTTTTTTTTTTTTAGATCTTGCTAATGTGGACTGTTCACCTAGGAGACTAACTTGTCCTATTTTTCTAACTCTTTACACTTCTAATTTGAATTTGACATGGGCAGTCAATAAATAGAAAACTATGTTAGTTGTCAACTTCAAGAGACTTGTATTTATTAATAATTTGTGATAGCTTGGAACAAATGTTGATGGGTTTGGTTAACTTAATTCTAGGATTTAGATTGTGATGGGAAGCTTATTTGGCCATACAGACTGTTCCTTGGCTTTTGACCTATTCAGCTTTATTGTTTTTGATTTTCCAGGTCTTAAGGAAAAATAATTTTAAGATTCGAGTGAATTTAAAATACAGTAACAAACAAGATAGACCTCAAAATAACTACAGCACCTGAATGTGGTGTTAAACGCTCAATGAGTAAAATCACTAATTGATTATTCTCATCTTGCGCAACAAAACTCCTTTGGTTTTTTTTTGTGCTCTGAGACTTACATTAAGACATCTAGGACTCAGATTCTTTTGCAATATATGTACATGTGTAACTGTTTACTAGTCTTTCTGAGATTTCAATGCAACCCACATCAGAAATGGATATTGTTTTGCACTGTCTCTGTTACAGTACATAAAATTCAGCATCCTTTATTCCTAGACCTATTACTTAAGTGTAGAACCCCCTTGCCTGTGCTGGAAATGTCCAACTCAATATTGATACATTAAATGAGTTTGAGTTGCTTGCTCTTAAAGGTTATACTTTTAAAAATCAAACATATGGTGAAGATTGTGTATAATTTCTTTATTCTTTCCCATCAAAATATTAAAATTCTAAACACTTACTAAACAAAGATTTGAAAAATACATATATGAGCTAATCTTCCTCTGAAAGCGAATAAGCAGCGAATCTAACCTTAGTCCAGGTTTTATTTGTTCCTTTCATTCTTCCATCTAAAATGTGATTTTTTTCATGTCTTCTTGATTTTGACTGACATGCATAATTGTATGTAAGCATTTAAAAAAAATACAAACAACTGGTTATTTTTTTGCTGACCTTTAGGCTCACAATTGCAAGTCACTGATGAAAACAATGTATTTTATTTACTTCTGAATATTCATTGTGATTGTGTAGGGATGTAAAGAAGTAAACATGTCAGGAAAGGTCTCATATAGTGTGATGAAATGATTAACTGAATAATTGTTTCAACAACTGATAATTTAATTAGTTACGGCACAAAGAAAGAGTAATTGCTGTGATGAGAATGCTGAAGATTGATACTCTTTAATATGATACACATCTGTGGTGGTTCTCTTCTCAGAGGGAAAAACGAAGTTCTAATTTTATGTACCTGATGATTGAATTTCGTTGCGTCAAGAGTGATGATAAAGAATATGGAATAGTTTACTACGAAAAGGTATGTGCCTTGCAGACTTTATGGTTGTCTTTAAAAAGCAGCGTGTGCACCTTAAATGGATTTTTTTTCCACTGAGGTGAAATATTCTGCTGCAGGATAGCAGCAGGCATCTGTCAGTGACAGCTGTTTATGTACATACAAATCAAATGGTATAGGTGCAATGAGATTACAGAAGTCAATCATTCATGCAACAGTTGAAGATTACAGGATTTTCTAAGTGTGAGTGATTAAAAACTTTTTGATTTATTGTTCCTTCAGTCATCCAGTGGTACTTTCAGTGTAGCTGTAGGTAAAATTGTCTCTCATCAAGAAGAGATGTACCTGTGTTGATTGGTAATTTTATAAAAGATAAGTTATTAAAAACTTGGCACAGGTGCTCTCCTTGTGAATGTTTCCTTTAAATGAACAAGTAAGTTTACACTTTAATGTTGAAAATATTTTGAAAGTAAATTTAGCAGAAAACTTCCAGATTGAAATATCTTTCATCTTTTCTTTCTGTTTACAAAACAGATCTCCAGTGTAGTAACTGATGTTGGTGACTATCTTATCATTCTTGCAAAGAAAATTAGATGTAGGAATAGATACCAAGATATCATTCTCTAAACAGTATCCCTGAATATTTCAATTTACGTAGAGAATTTTTTCAATGTCATTAATTTCTCGCTTTTCAAGTTTTTTATTCCGTAGTATCCAGAAAAATATCTTTAAAAGTAGATGTCGAAAAAGATCAATACATAAGATCATAGTGAGACACTTGAGAAGTGACATCAGAATTGTGGGTTCAAATTTAGGGGAAGAGAGGATTGACAGTGATAGGCAGCATTGGCCTTTTACTCTAAGGACTGGAGCATCTTCCCTATCTGCACAGGCTGAGAGAGCTAGGGCTCTTCAGCCTTGAGAGGAGAGGGCTCTGAAAGGGCCTACTGGAAAACTGGGGAGGACTTTTTAGAAAGGCATATAGTGACAGAATGAGAGGAAATAGCTTTAAAGTGGTAGAGAGTAGACTTAGACTAAGTATCAGAAGGAAATTTTTTACTGTGAGGGTGGTGAGACACTGAAACAGGTTGCCCAGAGAGGCTGTTTATTCCCCCTCTCTGGAGGTGTTCAGACCCAGGCTGGTTGGGGCTGTGAGCAGCCTGGTCTGGAAGGAGGTGACCCTGCCTGTAGTAGAAATTTGGAACTAAATGATATTAAAGGTCCCTTCCCTTCTAACCCAAACCCTTCTATGATTCTGTTGTGGCTTTGGCAGGCATTACCAGCACTTCCATGGTTTTATTCATTGTGGACAGATGCTCTGAAATAGAGAAAACAGTATTTCTTAACATTTTCAGTATGTTTATATTCATAAGAATTAAGAAAATTTCTGAATAATGCATCTGTATGGAAAGAGAAAGTAGAAAATAATAGACTGGAGTCCCAGTGAGATCAGAGGTTCTAACTTTAAGCACGTTCTATTTTGAGAATTTTTTTAAAAATGTGGTTTAATATGGAAAATGTTAATACTGTGGAAAATAGATGTGACAAAATTACTAATTGATCTGAAAAGCAGTATTGTAGTATATTCTGCAGAACTTCTACAGAATTCTCCTAGAACTAGCTGTTTTAGAGGGCCTTATTGTGGAAAAAAAGTATGTTACATTGCAAATCACAATGAAATATAGGATGTGTCGAAGTCCTTGAAACCAAATAGTTATTTTCTTCTTTGGAAATCAAGGAATTTTTATTTATTTATTTATTTATTTATTTTTCTGGAGAGCACAGTGGAACCATAATCAATGTTCTGTGTTTATCATAGATACAAAATAATAAACATCGTTAACATACAGCTTTATATTGTCTTGGCTTTTTTAGTTTTGTAGTTGAATGTGATGTTCCTGAAAATGGTTTCTCACTCTACCTTCAGAAATGTACTGTTATAGCTTATTTATGTGCACTATTTTTTGTTCAGTTATCATTATGATTTTACAGATATCAAAAGTGAAGGAAGAAGACTCAGATTTTAAATATGCATCTGTTTCTTTGCCATTTTTCCTGAAGTATGTTAGAAATGCACAGAACAAAATAACTATAGTTTGTCTGATGTTCGGAAATGAAGTATTTAGTTGTATAATGGTATATATCAAAGCTCAAACTGCAGTTACTTGTAGTAGTTTGTTATTATAAAGTAGCTTTTCAACATATTCTTGACCTTTTTTTCTGGCAGCAGTAGGGAACAGTACATAAATTAGTGCCTGTCGTCTCAGTTTTTTCATACCTTCAATTACAGCATATAGTATACATATCCAATATATTGAAACTAGGTTCTGTTGTCACCTGTCTGTGACCGATAGGCGAAGTGGAGATTACTTGTCAGAATTTTGTTGATAAATTTGTTTTCGGGTGTTTACAAAGAACTGCACTGTTAAAGAATCTCAATTCTAGCATCCCCTGCTTGACTCAATCTTCAGTTACAACAGAGTAAGGTAGCAGTGATTGTTTCCATGTTCTCTGTTAATTTTAATACAGCATTCGTGATGGGAAGGTTAACAGTCTGTTAGTAACAATAGCATCACTTCTGATTCTCCTCTTAGGGAAAATTCAGTGTGATTTTTCCAAACACAAATAGCAACAAGGTTTTTCTTTAGTACATATAACCTTGTGGTGGTTTCAAGTGAAACCTGTGTTTGAACAAATTGATTGCACTACAGCATGCAATTTAAAAAAAGCTTTATTGTCGGTGAAAGCTGTTTTCATGTCTTGAAAGACAACGGTAATATAGAATAAGATTGGTAGACCTTACTTATTGGTATTGTAAAAGCTCATTACATGAGGATGATCAGGAGGGATATTTTGAAAGCATGCACCTGACCAAATTCAAGTGCTAATTTAGATTTGACTCTCAGACACTGATATAGTTTAGTAAGTTTGTATAATAAGGGTAATAGTGAGCCACATTATGTTCTCAAGGTATGACACAGAATTAGAACCAAGTTCTAAACTAATTAAAAAGCATAGAAAACAGATGACTTCCTTCAAATGAAGACTAATTGACAGAGTAATCTGTTTTGGACAGTAATTTGGCCTGTGTATGCTTTTGCAAAACTTGATTCAAAAGCAAGATCGAACTTACAGTTTAGGTTTAAACCAGAGTTTTCTGGCTGTTCTGTTCAAGCACCAGGAACTGTTCAGCATTATGAAACTGTATTTGAGGAAAGGTAGTTAAAGATGCCCTTGTAGGTCTTCAAGGGTTTAAGAGGCATATCAGCAGCGCGTTAGAAATAAAAACTAATTTTGCATTTAGAAGACAGTGTGCCTTTTAAAAATTCTGTTTTGTGCATACATAAGCGTTAGTCAGTTGTAATTCTCATCCTTCTAAGTAATCACTGTGATAGGCTTTTGATTGTGAAGTCCAATTTTTACAAGTCTAAAAGCTTTGTCAGAATTTACAGCTGCCTTTTTATCTGAAAGTTTTCAGAGAAGAAGATGTAATAGTATGAGCGTTATTACTGCCCATCCCCAGAGAATCCACCTGGATCTCAATGCTTCAGGAGGAGTTTTGAACATCTGTTAGTTGCTACTGTGTACACCGAGTCAGGTTTTTCTATATTGATTTATGTGAAGGGTCCACACTAAGTGAGGTGTTATTTGTCACTGGGGTATTTGTATTTCTTTATTACTTTATTAAAGCCATATATGATTGCAATCTTTTTACGGTTCTGATTAGAAACATAACTGATGAGTTGACAGAACTTGGTCTGTGATTAAATCGTCAAATTTTATTTTTTTGATGGATTTTCCTGCCGAAGCATCATTCATTAATATTTCATTGTTCTTACCTAATACCTGTAAGTCATGATTTGAAAGTTGCTTCCAGTGTTGTGACAAAAGTTTTAGTACAGTGGGAATGCTGATCTGTCAGTCTAGCTCCTACTCTGTTCATCTATTGTTACACTGATACAGTATTGGTTAGCTATAATAGGACTACTTCAGAATTACTGTTTCCATACTATGTAGATAATAAGTACGTTATTTGTGGGATGTTCTTTTAAAATAAGCTGTAAACAAATGCCCTTTTTAAATGTTTGTATGCATGCTTTTTAGAAATCTAATGGGAAGAATAATTCTGTTTATGTTCTGGGACCATCATCAGTCACAGCCAGATTTTGGGTACATGTTAACTTTGACTAGAAGAGATGTATATGTGGTTAATGCTATTACTTTTCAAATTCAGAAAGGTATAGGACACTAGTAAATGTAGAAGTGTCTTCTTGAATGTGCTTATTTTAGTAATAGTCAGCAACATATGAATTTACATAGTTTTAAAAAGTATTTCCCATGAAAGAGTGGTAGGAATATTAATTTTTGTTTCTTGTTGGTATCAGTTAAGTAATTTCCTCCCCTTTATATAAGCTCCTCATTTCTTTGAAAGTTAATTCTGAAAAAAAATATAAGGTATATAAAGAATTAAATTACTGAGGGAGGTGTTGATACAGAAAAAAAATGTATATTCTTGATTGAACTGAAATGCCCATTTCTCTTAAAATGAAACTGAACCTACCTCAACTAAAGTGCTTAGCTTTTAGATTTATATGTATTACACTCGAAAATCCAGTGAAGCTTCATTCCTGTATGATGATTTGATATTTTTGTGTGTAATATGTATATTCTTATAATTTCTTCTGTAGTATGTGTATGTGAATATATATATATAAATCAGTACATCCGACATCAAGACATAAAAAGCTATTCTGTGGGTGCATCTTTCAAGTAGACTACCAAATATACTGATTGATAGTTTTTTTGTTTTCTCAGCTAATGCTGCATATCTTTACCAAGTCTACCAGTTCTTTCCTCTGCATCCCTGATGCCTCTGTAAATTGTGGAGAGTCAACAGTAAAAAAAATAAAGTGATGTAAACAGTGGAAAGATTGATTGTTAGCAGTGGCCTTTTGATTAAACCCTTGACTGATTTTTTTAAATGTAAAAATGTAGGTTGTGATTAAGAACATAATTCCAGTAGGTGTTTTTAGTCCCTCCTTATCTTTGAAAATGTGAATAAATGTTCGATTCAGACTTTGGAAGTTCTGCCGTTATTACTTCTGTCCTGTTTGATCATTCTGACATAAGATATTTCTGTCAGGATTCATTATTGTAATCTGCTTCATACTAACTGAAAAGAAACTTACTGAAGTATCAAGTATTACTTATTATATTGATTTTTTTTTATGTGTGATTTTTTAAAAAATTTTTTTTTGGTCAAATATTTTTTAGGTCATGTCAGTTAATGCTAAGTTCCACTTATGTAGTAAAAAAAAAGAAAAAAAAAAAAAACAAAATTAAACCGTTGGATGTTAATAAAAAGGAAAACAGTTACTGGATTTGCTCTAATGGTGGTGGACTTAATTTTTACCTTTTGATGGGTTCAGAGAAAATATTTTGCTTCTCCTATGTTATGGAGCAACAGATTTCCCTAAGTTAAACTGTCTGACCCCTGTCATTCTGCCCCAGAACAGTGCAGCGTGAACTTCCACAAGAGACTGTGATGTTACATTTGGAATCAACAGTAGATAGACGCGTATATATATCTTTTAAAATTTGTCTGTTTCAAGGAGCCTTTATTGCTGATCTGTTCTGAAGTAATTTCTGAAATGTGGCTGTTGTTTATAGCAAAGAACTTGCTTTCTGTTGGAAATACAGGTCCTGCTTTGTTTTATTTTCTTGCTTCCAGAGGATGCGTGTAATGATAGCAGCAAATTTCTCTACTCACCTGTGTGCTATCGTGGTGAAGAGCTGCTGAGATGTATTTCACTGGATGAACTTCAACCTATATTGTGACCATGCTTATCATCAGGCAAAAAACAGATAAAAATATATGTATCTTTTTTTCCTTCAGGCCCATCAAAACTGCAGGGTGTAGTTGCATCATTTTTTTCACTTAAATATAATATGCTGTATGTTAATTGAAAAGCAGTATGGTAATATGGCATTGCTTTGGAATTAGAAATATTAAATAAACTTTTAACTGTCTTTCAGGATGGTGATGAGTCATCCCCAGTTTTAACAAGTTCTGAAATTGTTAAGATTCCAGATCCACAAATGTCTATGGTAAGCGTTATTCTATGTAATACATTCTGTAGTACAGTATTTTTGCTGAGAGGTTTCCACAGATGGAGGTGAAGGCTTGTCTGTATTCCTACCGTCAGTAGTTCAAAGTCCCGTGGGAAAGATGTATTTGACCAGTTGAGTAGTATGTTGGTGTGATTTTTAGTACATTTTTATTGCTTCTGCTGGTTTTAAAATGCAGCAACTTATTTAATGCTTACGATGAGTTTCTTCCTTACTATACTTAATGTACTTCATTCTGAAATGGGGGAAAGCAAATTAGGGGTACTGCTGATAGAAGAGAGGGTGGGAGAAACAAGAAGGAGCTGAAGAAGATAAAGGAAGTTTTGAAGAAGATGTAGTAACTCTTGGTCACTTCATCTGTTAAAATGTTTTTTTCCCTACACTCTTTTGTATGTTGTTTTTCATGTAGACAGTGCCTAAGTACAGTTCTAGAAAAGATTTCCATTATTGTGGATGCCAATTCAGTGGAACTGGTATTGGCAGCTTTGGGAACCTTAATGTAAGTGGGCTTCTACTGGCAACACTGTTTGAGCACTGTGTAATCTAACACTGCAAGAGCAAGTCTGACAATGCTGAAAACTGCCTTGGCTGCTGAAATCTTGTTGACACCGTGGCTCTTATTGTGGCTCCTACTGTTGCTAACATGGTATTAACAGTGGGAAAACTTTTTGAGAATGTTTTTGTTGCATACAAAGCTTCATACTGCAAACATCCTACATATGTTTAGAAAGTAGCTAGCACGTTTGAGTGCTGTCTAAATCACGGGTGTGTTGACTGAAACACTTGCATTTTGCAGCAATTCACCAGAAGGCAAAAAAAGGCTTGTAAGTTGTGTGAAGTACAATAAATACATAAAAATAAATTCAAATCCCTACAGCCTTTCTCTCTTTTAGGGGGTAAAAGAGCGTATTGTTAAAGGAGTATCTAGTAAAACTGCAGTGATGACAAAAAACAGTCCAGAAGATGCTGTATTTTTAGATGTGAATTTTAATTGTCATGCATTATTCAACATACTGGAGAGTTTTTGCGAGGTGGTTTCAAAACTAATTTTCTCTGGAGTTTAAGTATTTATGTATATTGACTTACCCTCTGCGTTTAGGAGAACTTAGTAGAAAGCAAACATCACAAGCTTGCTCGAAGTTTAAGAAGTGGACCTTCTGATCATGACCTGAAGCCTAATGCAGCTACTCGAGATCAGCTTAATGTAAGTCAATCATATAATGACTAAATTCAAAGTTATTTTATGTTGTTCACTATTAATATGTGTTGAGAATTTAAATGAAATGTTTAATTTCACTTTGAAGAAAATCATTAATAAAGAAAAATCAGTTGGTGTATCTCACAGTAATTAGGTGAGTCCAAGTCAGAAATAAGCAAAAATACATTTAACTTTGTGATTTTATCTTTTTAGAAAAACACATTACTTCTGTTTTGAGGGTTTAATAACGCGTGTTGTGCACATACCTTGATACTGATGGTAGTCTTAACAGCATATGTTTGCCTGCATTGCTGGTTCCTTTAACCTTGTAACTAAGAAGCATTACCGTGACAATATGAGAACTTTGTGTTGTTGAAAACTTTTTTTTTCCTACCTATTTTTGTGTCATCAGTCTTTTGTTTCATCACAGTATATTCCATTAAATTAATGGTTATGCATGCTCATGTTTTTTAAACTGACTTTCTGATTATTTATCTAACAGATCATTGTGAGTTATCCACCAACAAAACAGCTAACATATGAGGAACAGGATCTAGTTTGGAAATTCAGATATTACCTTACTAACCAGGAGAAGGTAAGCTGAAGTACTTTAGAGGGTTATTAGTGCAATCAACATTTCATCTGACACTGATTTTACTGTTCTTCTCTTGCAGATACAGACTTAAAGTGTCTTACTGGCTAATTAAGATGATTTTAACTTTTTATAAAGTCACTGATTTTAAAAATTAAAATCTCTTTAAGTCATGGATAGCTTTTATTGCAGTAGTTTTTGTATAAAGCCAGAATGACAGTTTAAAGTGCTAGTGGTGATATTTTTATTTTCTTTGTCAGCAAAGAGAAATGAATAGAAATAGCTTTTTAGTAAAGAGTTAATACTATGTATTACCAGAATGTATAGCGGCACACAAAAAAAAACAGAATCACAGAATGGCCAGGGTTGGAAGGGACCTCAAGGATCATGAATCTCCAACCCCCCTGCCACATGCAGGGCCACCAACCATCCCACCTAATGCTAGACCAGGCTGCCCAGGACCCCATCCAATCTGGCCTTGAACACCTCCAGGGATGGGGCATCCACAACCTCTCTGGACAGCCTGTTCCAGCACCTCACCACTCTCTCTGTAAAGAATTTCCCCCTGACATCCAACTTAAATCTCCCTTCCCTCAACTTAAAACCATTTCCCCTTGTCCTGCAGTTATCTACCCTTTCAAAGACTTGATTCCCCTTCTGTTTGTAGGCTCCCTTTAGGTACTGAAAGGCTGCAGTGAGGTCACCCCGCAGCCTTCTTTTCTTCAGGCTGAACAAGCCCAGCTCCCTCAGCCTGTCCTCATAGGGGAGGTGCTCCAGTCCCCTGATCATCTTTGTGGCCCTCCTCTGGACCCTCTCCAACAGCTCCCTGTCTTTCTTGTACTGGGGGCTCCAGACTTGGATGCAGTACTCCAGATGGGGCCTCACAAGAGCAGAGTAGAGGGGAACAATCAGCTCCGTATCCCTCCTGCCCCCCCCTCTTTTGATGGAGCCCAGGATACCATTTGCCTTCTGAGCCGCAAGGGCACGCTGCTGGCTCATGTTAAGTTTTTCATTCATCAAGTCCCCCAGGTCCTTCTCCACGGGGCTGCTCTCAAGGACCGCTCCTTCCAGTCTGTAGGGATGCCTGAGATTCCTCCAGCCTAAGTGCAAAACTCTGCACTTTGCTGCGTTGAACGTCATCAGGTTCACCTGGGCCCACCTTTCTATCCTCTCGAGGTCCCTCTGAATGGCATCCCGTCCTTCAACCGTGTCAACCGCACCACTCAGCTTGGTGTCATCAGCAAACTTGCTGAGGGTGCACTCAATTCCGTCATCGATGTCATTGATAAAGATGTTAAAGAGGACCGGTCCCAAGACAGACCCCTGGGGGACACCACTCATTACCAGCCTCCACCTGGACATAGAGCCATTGATGACCACCCTCTGTCTGCGGCCTTTCAACCAGTTTCTTATCCATCGAGTGGTCCACCCATCAAATCCACATCCCTCCAGTTTCGAGATAAGGATGTGGTGGGATTAATGCAACAAAGTGCATTAAATAAATAACAATCCAGTGGTGGCTACTTTCATGTATTGATGATGGTGGTAGACCAGTAACCACTGGCTTCTCTTTTTACTTAAAGATAGCTACAAATTTCCAAGATGTATTAAAAAAATTCCACACTATATTGTCACATGTCAGTAAATCTTCTCAGATCTGTGCTCATGTAAATGTAGTTCAAATCTAGTTCTGCCTTAACATGAAACATTAATTCTTAAGTAGATTTGTTTTATCTTTCTTTCCAGGCCTTGACAAAATTCTTAAAATGTGTTAACTGGGACCTACCACAAGAAGCAAAGCAAGCGCTGGAGCTACTAGGCAAGTGGAAACCAATGGATGTGGAGGACTCCTTAGAACTTCTGTCATCTCATTTCACAAATCCAACAGTTCGACGATATGCTGTTGCTAGACTTCAGCAGGCTGATGATGAGGTATTTGTTGTTCTCTCATCTCAAAACTTGGAACATAGAGGATTTTTAGCAGGTGCTTCTTACCTTCAAAGACATTTAAGTAAATAATAGTGATGGAAATACTGTTGTTGGGCTCTTTTTGGGAGGAAGTTCGCAGTATTGGTAATTGTATTAGTGTGAACAGTCAGTGGTAGGTTTTCTTTGTCAAGTTGAAACAAGTGTTCTCCCCTCAAACCCATCATAAATTTTGAATGTTCACATTCGTAGAAGTAAACTAAAAGATTTCCAGCTGCCTTGGATGTTAAAGCAGTACATCATCATATACTTCATGAACAAAATGAGTAGATAAACATCTGTTAAAAAAAAAAAAAAAAAAAAAAGTTGTTTCAATTTTATACTGATTAGAGTGTGATGAGCTGTGAATTGCAAGTCGAGCCCACTTAATAGATGCTGATCAGTTTAAATTGTAATTATTTACATTCAACAGTAAAAAAAATACTGTGAATATACTACGGTAGATCTTGAATTCTTGGTAATCAGTTGGGATTAAAATAGGGAATGCACTCTTCTCTAATCTTAGAAATCCCTCTTCAGTGGCCAAGGTCTTTGTCTTTGAAGTGTACATTTCACAAAACATTTAAATCCTACTCAGAAGATTGAGTAATAGAGAAAACTATGTTTTCTAAATGAATGTTAACTAAATGAATTGTAAAGAGCTAGTAATTAAAATTCTTTGTTTCAGTCATACATCAGATGCACTTATTCATTGCTAGGGATAAAAGAAAAAAAAACAAAACTGTACAGAAAAGAGGAGGAAAGATTGTTTCTTGGTACTGTGGTCCAGATTTAGTTTCATTCCTAGTAGCTGTGAACTAAAATTTATTTTGAGAACACTCAAAGCAAGAAGGGCAGCTTAACTAAAGTGTGTTTTAAAAACATATTTTCACTGAAAGAATTAGTTAATTAACCCTTTGTGTAACAAGGAAGTAGTGATGTAATGACTCTTACCTTTTGGAAGTCTAACTCCATCCTAGATCATTTCTTCTGTTGTATATTGTTTGCTGTTGAGATACTATTCCATTTTACTGACCAAGTTTTTCTGTTATTAAGAATTCTGAAATCTAGGCAGCTTTAACTGATCCTATGAATTCATTTTCTTTCCTTTTTTTTCCCCCTTCATGAGGATTTACTAATGTACCTGCTGCAACTAGTCCAGGCATTGAAATATGAAAACTTTGATGACATAAAAAATGGACTGGAACCTAGCAAGAGGGATAGTCAAGGTTCAATGTCAGAAGGCATGACAACATCTGGAACTAATGGTACAGAAATAGACAGGTAAAAAGCTAAGATTTTCAATAAAAAGAATTTTAAAAGAATTTGCAGGAAGAATCCAGAGAACATAGAGGAGCTACTGGAGACATACATTCTATTAATTTCAGTCTAGGAGTAGGGCTAAAGTCTGTGATTAATATGGCATTAAGAAGTCACAAACTAATTTGTTTAACAGAAGTCTCCAGTTTTCCAAGTCTTAACCTTCAGTGTCTAATTATTTGTATACTCATACTCTCCATATTATAAATATACTCCTTTTCACTGATCTTACTGCAGATCTGTAGAGTAGATATACTGGGATGTGTGCTGCAGTGACACTTAGACATTAACAGAGGACTTTGATTACTTCCTTTTACTCAGGTAAATTTACTGTATAATAATTTTACCTGGCAAACACTGGGTTTGTCTACTGCATGTGATTGCATTCCAGATTTGAGGGTTTGCAGGTGTTGTGTTTTAGCAACTTCATCAAAAACATTTTAAAAAAAGCTTACACTGAAAACATGAATTTGCTAAATTCCCCTTGATGACTTTTTATTTTTTATGGAAGCTGAAACAAAGCAGTAAGATAGATGTGATTGAATGTCCTGCACAACCATAGGTTGTGTAACTAACTGGGCACAGATTTTTGATATTTTTAGGAGCAGTAGTGATTAAAGCTACCATTCCATTTGTTCTGGAACAGAGTTGAGATTACTTACTATTTCATAAAATAGTATGAATATAAAATGCATAGTATTTTTTAAATAGTTCCTTTACAATTTTATGAGTTTATTGTTTTGTGGAAGTCAAATGCATTGCTATTTCCTTGCACGCTTCCTGTTCCCCAAGAAAGAACTTTGAATCATGGTAATTACACTCTTTCCTTTGTATAGTTCCCAGATCATGACTCCTATTCCATCTGTCTCCTCACCACCTCTAACATCAAAAACGAAGGAACCTGCAGACAATGAGAACCTTGATGTAAGTCAAGTGTTTTATACAGCAGTTGTGATGTTTGAGGCTTTTTAGTAGACTTTCTACTTTTTTGGGTGTGTGGTTTTTTTATTATTTTTCTTTTGTACTTTGCAGAATACTTAAATGTTCTAACAATATAAATGTGAATTAAATACAAAAAACAAAGCAGCAGCTTATGAAAGTTTGTGTTTACATTAGTCAAAGTCTGGGGGGACTGAGCATTGAATTGGTCAGGATAGCAAATGATTCTTCTAAGTATAAGACAACTGCAAAGATTATACATGCTGATTAGATACTGACAATCACATGTTTGTGTTTGAGCTGTACTAAAGTTCCATTTATAATGGAAAGCAGTTATCCAAATGCTTTTAATATCTGCAGTGTATTCCTCCTTTAGCCAAATTGGCATTTTTTCTTCTTTATGAACCTAAGGACACTATGCTGATTTATATCCACAGAGGATTTTGCTCTTCTATTTAAAGTAGAAATTGATCAACAAAAATGGGACTGCAGGGAAGGAAAAGTAGTAAAGACAATTTGGGGGAATCTTTATCTGATGTATAGTTGGTTGATGTCCGAACAAAAAGTCCATTTCTTTTTTGCAAATTTGTCTTTTTGAGTCTCAGAACTGAATAGAAAATAATCCTCAAATGAAGCATATGAACAAGGATATGCAGATTTCTTCTGGGACTATTATACCTTGGATAAGTAGCTAAATGCTCAATGAACTCTACAGATTCATTCACTAGAATGAAGATTGAGAACGTATTAATGAATTTTAGTTCTTCTGGATGCAAACTGGGTAGCAAATCTACCGCTTGAGGCTTGAATCTCACGCTTGGAAAATTGCATAGGAGGCAAGTGTAAAGTATTGTACGTAAAAAGTTAATATTGAAGATCTTTAGTTGGTAAATATGCTACCTCAGTAGGCTTTTTTTACTTACAGCTTACTGTGTGGCTTGCTCAAAGTAAAAATTAAAAATAATAACTTCATCGTAGGATGAGTTGGGTTCGACCTTCAGAAGGGAATGGATCTCTTAAAAGTCCGTGCATTATTTGTTATTTTTCCTTAACGAAGTTTTACTGATGCGTTCAGAATTCTTCTATTATGTAATTCTGCTTTTCTTAAATCCCTCACAGCAAGACCTTTGCACTTTCTTGATATCACGAGCATGCAAAAATTCTACATTGGCTAACTACTTATACTGGTATGTAGTAAACTATGTATCAATGTGTAATTGAAATCAAAGCTGTAATGCCCAGAACGATGCAAAGGAAAAGATAACTTGTTTTGAACTTGAGAGTCTGTGCTTCTGTCAGGATGAAGTAGTTAATTTAAAACAACATACATCTGAACAGAGTATTCAGTGAATAAGGGGCATGTACACAAACAGTAAGTACAGTATTTAAGAAAAATAAAATAAAATCAGACATTTTTACGTTGTATTTCAATTTGTATATGGTGGTAGATAAGAAAGCTCATCTTCTGTAGTGAGTAAAGAGCATTTTGTTACTGGATAGCAAGAACAAAAACAGGAAACAAAAAAAAATTGTGAACAAAAAAGCAGAGAAAACATCACAAAGTCAAATTCTTCAATGTTTTCTTTCCAGACATCTCAGTTATTCAGTGACAGAATATAAATGTTGAAGTTTGAGCTGATGTAGCCCAAAGTCTAGTTGGTTGCTGATGAGTTGCTTGTTTCAGTTACCCAAACACAATGTGCACCTAAAATAATGGAAAAGTTTGTTAACTGTTGAAAATTAAAGCTCCTTGCTCATTCACTTGCTTTAAAGCTCTCCTATCACTGTACTTTAACTGTGCCTACAAAATTCACTGCTTTACTTTTCTCTGTGTGGGCATATGAGACACCTACTCAAATGTTTTTAAATAGTTTTGAGAAGTTGGCTAATTTTGTAGGTTTTTTTTTTTTTTTTTAGCAAACGAAGATGATAATTACATATTTCAGTTTATTACATCCAATTTTCCTTTTAAGTTTTAGTGCACAGACTAAAGATTTTTGTGTTCATGATCATTCCATTGCAATCTAATTTTGTCACTTTAGGAATGTAACAGTGTAAGCCAGTGTAAGAAAAAAGCTTTGGAAGTAATTTCCATTTGGAAAAATATGCATTAAATACTTTACATATTCCTTATTTTTTATATTTATTTCTAAATAAGAGTAGTCAAATTTAACACATGCAATTTTTAAACATAGAGTTCACACATCAGTGTGAACAAGAAAATTCAAGATTTGTTTATGCAGATAGAAATTTAAGAAAAAATGAACTGAAGCTGCAGTGAAATTCTTCTATCAGTACAACTTTCTGTACAGCTGAGAAACATGGATGCCTGTAACTGTTCGCTTTTGAACTGAGGATATACCTTTCTGACTCTGCTTCTTCCTCTCAGGGGGAAGGAAGTTTGATTTGTACAGCAAGTGAGTTGTTTTTGACTTGAGCTGTTCACAGGCGATTTCCTTTCTTTTCCTTTTTAGTTATGAGTGCAGTTTCCAGATTATCATCTAAAATGGAGTCCAGGGTGTTTTGTCATTTATGTTCTACCATATTAAAGCTGATCTGAAATCAGTGTAAAACTGAAGTGTGTATGAACAACAACAAAAACAGCCCATGTAGTGTGCATAGCATTCTTGAACATTACCTGAAGTTGTAGAGGACTCTGAAAATATCAGTGCTCATTTGCAGAAAGCCCCCTACCCATATGAAAAGTCACCTATAGAGGGGGAAGAAACGTGATGAATATGTAGTCATTTCAAACACTGCTATATTTGAAAAGAGACTTTTTCATCTCTATGTTTTTTGTTGTTTTTTTTTTTTAATATGTATAATGGGTTTCTTTTTTTTTTCTGTGTGAAACTTAGGAGATATTTTCTTAAACAGAAAGGATCTTTCGTGCACAGCAGTGACTGCTTGTCAGTGTTATGAATAGAAAGAAACACAGGATGTATCAAATTACTAATTATTATATCAAAGTAAAATACTGACAGTTATAGTACAGCCATCTGAAATTATCCTATTTAATTTTGTTCCAATAACATAATTTTAGAAGAACTTGATTTGAAATGTAGAGTTTCAAATCAAGTACTTCAGGATCAGTATGCTTGCTTTCACTGTTGCTGATAGGAAACAGATAAGATTTTTTATTGTATACTTGAGTCTGAAGTTTGCATTATGCCTGGGCTGTAGAGACTGGCAGCACTTACAGTGCTTGCTTGGAATATTTTATCATTTCTGACTTGTCCTGTTTAAGTGACAAGATGTTGTGAAGCACCTCAGAAATGTTGATAGGCTGTCTTAATTCAAGTGGAAATTTATAATTATGAATCAGAGAGCTCATCTGTTATTCAAGAATGAATTTGTTTTCAGATCCAAACGTACAGTACAGGGCTGCTGTGTTTCAGTAAAATGTTGTAATCCGATGCTGCACTAACTTGAGTTTTTTTGTATTGTAGGTATGTAATTGTGGAATGTGAAGACCAAGACACTCAGCAGAGGGACCCAAAGACTCACGAAATGTACCTAAATGTGATGAGAAGATTTAGTCAAGCTTTGCTAAAGGTAATATCTTAACATAGTGTTTTTTGTTAGTCATTTTATTAAAAAAAAAACAAAAAAGACACATATCTAGAAAAGCACACTTAGTTGTGTCAGTTATCTAGAAAGCTTCTACTTTATTTGAATTTTCAGTGTTTGTGGTAAACTAAAGAGGCTACCAAAAAAGTAAAGGAGAATTATTGAAAATTGTCCTCTGTCTTATTTCTTGCTTCCATTAGTGACATGCTGATTCAAAATCTTCTGCCTTGTGTAAGCAATCAGTCATTTCTTTAGCAATTGAAATTGAGTCAGGAAGCCTGTCCTCCAATCTCAAAAGAAGAGTTGTTCTATTTGCCTTCAGCACAGGGTTATGTAGGGGAAAAAGCAAAAACAAAATAAAAATGTTTTTATGAATTGTAGTCTATAATTTTTTTAGTAGGTACATGGTCTTTCCTGATTTTATTGTCTCATGTTTTGTATTTCCATTTTACAGATGCTTTTTGAATCTGACTCTTAGGCTTTGTAGAATGTTCTGTGTACTTGCTCTTACTAACTTCAATTGTGTGAACAAGTTTGACATGCATGATTGTTCACAACTAAAATTATTGATACAAATTAAAATATGCTGGTAAGTCAAATAATTAATTGCCAGCTGCAGTAATTTTGATTGTATTTTACAGAAAAATCTTCTGAATTGAAAGGAAATTGATCTTTATTCACTTCTTAAAGTCGAAAAGCCTAAGATCACAGGAATAATTTCTAGATAAGATAATGAGGGAACAAAAAACTAATTTTGTTTCTTTTAATTCACTTAGGGTGATAAGTCTGTCAGGGTTATGCGTTCATTATTGGCAGCTCAGCAGACATTTGTGGATCGGCTGGTTCATGTAATGAAAGCAGTGCAGCGTGAAAGTGGGAATCGTAAGAAAAAGGTAAATAAAAGATTGGAAAACTTATCTCTGGGTAGAAATTAACAGCGTGAATGTTAGCTTTTCATGAAAAATTCTTAGCGCTGAGATGTTACAGGACAGATGTTACAAAACTGTTACACAATTTCAGCTAATTTTGAAGAAAAGTAGGAGAATATTAGGTCAAAGTTATAAATTGCTCTGAAACTTCAAAGGTGGAAAAAAGAGGTCCCTCAGAAAAGTCTCAAGGTACTGTGTAAAAGTAAAATGTTGAAGTGTTGGAATAATGTGAAGAGCTGGTGATGCAAGAATGAACAAGTCACGGAAGACATGAGAACTTAGCAGACAGAGGTTGTTGTGATGATTTTTATGATGTTGTGAATTGTTGTGTGCTTGTTGTGAATTGTCAAAGAATCATGCAATGACTGAAGTTCGGTAGCACCTCAGGAGGTTATCTTGTCTCACCCATTTCTCAAACATATCCCCTTTTAGTAGTTTGTCCAGGGCTGTGTCTATATAACTTTTTGATATTTCCAAGAGTAGAGACTCTCCAAGGATTCTAAACAATATTATCCATTGTTCAGCCACCCTCAAAGTGAGCAGGCGTTTCCTGAATTCAGTTGTAATCTCCCTGTGCTCATATTTTTGTCCCTCCTTCCTCTTATTGTGGCAGTAGGCATCGCTGAAAAGTGTTTAGCTCTCTTGATTACTCTCTCTTGATGTGTTTCTGTATGTGAATAAAATCCACTCTGAGGTCTTCTCTTTTGGCTTAGCAGCCCTAATTCTCTCAGCCTTTTCTTCTAGTAGAGATGATCTTGTGGCCAGACACTGCGAGTCTCTCCAGTATGCCCAAGTCTGTCTTGTGATCTGGGTTCCAGAACTGGACACAGCACTCCAGGTGCAGCCTCATCAGTATTGAGTAAAGAGGAAGGATCATCTCCCTTGAGTTCTGGGTCAATATGACTAATGTATTGCAGAATACCATTAGCCTTCTTTACTGCAAAGTGTCTACCAGACCTTCAGGTTTTTTGTTTGTTTGTGCAAGGGAATTTATGTCAGTGTAATGAAATCAAGAAATTCAGCTAACAAGACTTATTTTGTTCCAAGAACAAAAATCAAAAAGATATTCCTTTATAAGATGAGTGTATAACTACATGAAACGGAACTGTTAGCCTTGAGATGAAGAATTTGTGTCATAAGTACCTTCTAAGATACTTCACCCTTCTTATTTGAAATACTGGGTGAGTTTGACAGATATGGAAAAGGAGCAGGATCTCCAAGGAATTTCTGTCAATTTATTTTCTTTTCATCTAATGTGTACCATTATTCTTTAACATGAGTTTTCAGTGTAATTTACCAATATCTTTTCTATCGTTGGGGTATGTTTGCAGGAAAATGAAACACTTAAGCATTGTATCACTTCTCGGAAATTTTGTGATCATGCTATGTGCTGGTAAGAAAGGTATAATCACCAAAAGAGGTTGAAGGTTTTTTCAGTCCATAGGACTGTATTGCCTACTTGTGCAGTGTTTTAGTAGTGTTCTGTCAGATTTTATTTTTCAAACTAAACCACAGGGCTTTGATTTTGGAAGCATAAAGAATTGAAAAAAATAGTGATTTATTAGTAATTAGTATATATCTACTGTTAGAAGACTTTAATTGTTCATGTGTACCCATTAAGTGTGCTTTGAGTAAAAAAAAAAAGCAACAAACAAACAAGTATTTGATTCTTTTTCTTCTAGAATGAGAGGCTTCAGGCATTGCTAGCAGATAATGAAAAGATGAATTTAGCAGATATGGAACTTATTCCTCTTCCTCTGGAACCTCAGGTGAAAATTAAAGGAATAATCCCTGAAAAAGCCACACTCTTCAAGGTAAATGGGATCTAAATAGCTGCAATGTAAACTATGTCCACCAAGCTTAGAAACATCAGTTGGAATGTTGAAATAGTCTGATCTAGTCAAGGCAAGATCTAACTGTAACATGTTCTTAAAGTGGTTGAATAGCAGTTATGTTGTTTTCTTTTCTGGAAGTATTTTCAGGCACCAAGTTCAAACAGACTGATAATGTTATGAAGTTACTGTATTCTCCTTTAGAAAAGGGAAAAATTTTATGTACAAAACTTCAGTAATGCAAGTGGTTCACCAGCCAGAGATGTTCTTCCCAAGTTGACATTGCTTCCTACTTCAGAATTTATCTGAAACTTGATGAGTCTGTGGTCAGAAGGAATATCATTTATGATCAAAAATCTTACAAATCAAATCACTTATGTTACACCTAAGATACATATGAACATGTATTCCTTTTTAAAATAATCCTCTTGTTAGGGGCTGAAAAGAATGATGATTGTTCAGTTGTAATGGTCTGCTGCATAGATCATGTAACCTGAGGATAAATAACTCATTAAATTATACCAGTTCTGTTAATTGTGGTTATTTGGCTATTCCTTAGTGTAGTTACTGAACAGTCAGTATGCTGTTAAAAGGACTGGTTTTGTTTTGGTTTTTATGCTACCTGGAATGTGAGTTATTTCCTGTGTCCAATAATGTAGTACCTCCCTATAAATTTAACTTCAAATTATATAGTTGACGTAAATATGTTTTACTAGTCAGACCTCTACCCAGCAGTTTAAGTGCTAATTTTAAAGAAGGGAAAAAAGATTCTAGCTGCTCTTGCAGCCTGCTACTGGGCTGTAAATTTATTCATACCTGAAAAGTTCAGTGATTGTGGAATGCATTAATTTCTGTCAACTTAGGGAAACTAGTTTTTCCATAGTTATCTGACAACTTTGATTCCCTACTGGCCTGTTTTTTTAATGTACTCATTACTTTGAAGAGTACTCATCTCCCACTACATGCTCAAGTAACTTGTTTTCAAATTGGAGATAACTTCGGTCTGATTCTGAATGGTTACTGATTTCCATTTTATCACTAATCTTGCTCTATGAGAAAAAATCAAACTCCTACATGAATGACAAATTTTTGGACATTACGTGGCAGATTTATGGAACCCTATATTTAAAAAAAAATGTATTCCATTTGAAAAATATAATATAGCTGCTCAAATATTAAACAGTGTCCTTGATTTTTATTATTTTTGCGTTGAGGGAAGCGACTTGGTCAATTGCAGTAGTTGAAATTATTCATGTAGATAATTGATCCCTTTCAATTCTTTTTATTTGAAGAAACAGCAAACAATTAAATTGATTTTCACTAACGACAGCGTAAAATGGCATTTTTGCTTTTACTAAATAGATTAAGGAAGCAGTTAATTTTTAAAGATGACTTGCCTCTAGCATTTCTTTGATGTTTATCCTATAATTGTGTCTTTTTGATCCGGTCATTTAAAATTTGTTTTGTTGTGACCTTTTGCTCAGTGCTTTCATGTTGATTGGAATTAAATGCATGCAAACAATTTGAATCCTTCTGCCCTTTTGTCTTCATGGGTTGGGGGTAGCATTTAGGGAAAGAGTGTATCATTTACACTTCACTATTTTTTCTTCTCTTTAAACAGTGAAGAACTGGAGGGATTTAATTTATTTTTATTTTTTCAAACATGCTTAGATCACAATTCTGGTAACTGAGAATTACATGGTCTAATTGATTCCTAAACAGTAGGTGACTACTTTAAGAAGTTTTTGGATTTGCTTATTTTCTGCCAGATATGAGGAACATGAAGAAACTTCTTGTCCGTGCTGCCATGCTGCTAATAAACAAGGAGACTTTTATGTCACTCATTTTTATACCTTATGCCTTATTCTTGCCTATTTCACTTACTTATAATGTTGTAAATATGGATTTACATTTTAGAAATGTACTGTAGCAAGATGTTAATGTGAATGTTTCTTTAAGCCAGCTCAGTAGGATTTTCTGTTCTAGAGCGCTTTAATGCCTGCTCAGTTATTCTTCAAGACAGAAGATGGAGGCAAATACCCTGTAATTTTTAAGCATGGGGATGATTTACGTCAAGATCAACTTATTCTTCAGATTATTTCACTTATGGATAAGGTAAGATTACCGTCCTGTATGGCATTTCTGAGTTCTTGATTCTTCTCAACAGCAAGACAGGTAAAAATTGTTAATGAGGCTAATATGTCTACTGATGTACTTATACATTTTAGGATTTTTCTGACCTTAGATTTTTTTTTTAATATGTCTTTTCAGATTCTGTTCATATTAAAAAAAAAAAAAAAAAAAAATCTCAAATCAGCCTTTATTCATTACTCATTACAGTGAAGAACTTTATAGATCAATGTCCAGTATTATTTTAGAAACATAGCTAATATTTGTTCCTCTCATTTTAATACTTCCTTCTACTTCATTCCAGCTGCTAAGAAAAGAAAATCTGGATTTGAAACTGACGCCGTATAAAGTGCTGGCAACTAGTACAAAACATGGTATGAGTACTTTTGTTTTCTAAAAATACAGTATTGAGTATTTTTCTTTCCCTCCCTCATTGACTGTTGTGACATAGATAACTTTACTTAATATACAGCATTCTGGAAAAAGAGCTCAAATGTGTAAGAAAGTATATAAATTACTGAAGTAACCAACTTAATTGACCACAGTATCCCATAGGTTGTGATATTTGACAGTCATTAGACTATTTCCAGACATTATTTTCATGCTGGTTTGCTGCATGGTCTTGGACAAATCACATGAATACTCCTCCTGATCTTTGCATTAACTGGAGGGAAAAAAAGAAAACAACAAAATGAAATCAAACTTGGCTATGCTTTCAGATCCATTGTGGATAAGCGTTTAGGATGTCATTGATATAATTTCCTCTTCTGTTGAAAGTTTGAAACAGGCTGTTTCTGTCCTGAGTGGTAAGTGGTAAGTGATTATATTATCGAGGCCTGAAAATTCAGGAAAAAAAAAATATATGTTTTTTATTTTTTTTGCCAGTGAGAAACAGTTGAGTAAATGTGTTAGTGAAACCTTTTAGTAAAAATGCCTTATAAAATATCTTCAAATGTCTATGCACTCAAATTTTTTGTTGTTTCTTTTGCAGGCTTCATGCAGTTTATTCAGTCAGTGCCAGTTGCAGAAGTTCTTGCTACTGAGGAAAGTATACAGGTATGTGATGTAGCACTTCTTAAGTCTTCTACTCATCAGACAATGTAAACTGCAGCCTTAGATTTTATTTATGGATTAGTGTTTACAGTCTCTCCACTGATTTTTGTGTCTGCTGTTTAGAAGACAGAGGTAGACTTGAAAGGGACTAGATTTTTTTTTTTTTGCTTTAGAAAAACACACTTTAATTGCCACATGACTGTCTCATGACCTAAGAGTTTAATTATATATATGGTGTTACTCTATCTTAGTTGTGATACTAAGTTGTGGGTTTCCTGTAATGATGGATGTAATGCCAGACACTTTTCTGTATCTTCTGTTTTTAAGGTATTTCTGTTGTTTACTTAGTGATTTTGATACCTTGTTAAAGCACGTAGTAATGTTTTTTAGATTGAACAACTAAGTATTTTGTCCATTTAATTTTTAACATCTGTAACATTCATTAGATTAAATAGGGACATGTAATTGAATAGTGTTAGACAAAAAAAAAAAAAAATCAGTTCAGCTTCAAGCATAGCACAAGCTGTAAAAGACCTCTAAGATTAATTAGTCCAACTGTGAACTCATTGCCACCATACCCATTAACCATGTCCCAAATGCCACATCTCTGTGTTTCTTGAACATGTTCAGGAATGATGACTCCACAACCTCCTTAGGCAGCTTGTGCCAGTGCCTCACCACTCTTTCTGAAAAGTTTTTTCCTATAATCTGAACCTTCTATGACACAATTTAAGGCTATTCCCTCTCATTCTATCACTAGTTACCTGAGAACAGTGGATGACCCCCACACTGCTACAGTTTCCTGCCAGGTAGTTGTAGAGAATGATAAGGACTGAGCCTCCTCTTCTCCAGACTAAACAATCCCAGTTATCTCAGCTGTTTATTCCAAGATTTTCTGTTCCAGACCCCTTACCAGCTTTGTTGTTCTTCCCAGGATTCACTCCGTTGCCTCAGTGTCTTTTAGTGAGTGGCCCAAACTGAAAAGAGCTTTCAAGGTGCAACCTCAGCAGAGTTGAGCATTGGTTGATTATGTCCTTGCTCCTGCTGACAGCACTTTCTTTACAGGAAAGGATGCCATTGGCCTTTTTGGCCACTGGGTGGGCCAGGAAGCACTGGACTCACTGCTGGCTCATGTTCAGCTGATTGTCAGCTAACTGTCCCAGATTCTTTTTTCACAGAATTTAGTTCAGTGTGATTTTTCCTGCCCTGTCACAAACAGATGTACTTTTGTATTCATGGTTATTAATTAGTATATCCTTAATGCATTGTTAATTTTCGGAGACTATTTTAAAGATCTGCATTTCAATTTAAAGTTCAAATCTGTTTCTGTTGAGTGTGCGAATATGATGATTAAGATGAAATGTAAAGATAGCAGTGTAGAGTTAAATTAGATCTTACTAGTTTTGAAGGGAAGTGGGAGGTGGCTGTTACATGACACTACTGGCTATTTGTGGTCTTGTTTTATATCTTGAATTACTAGTTATAAAAATCATGTTATGGGCCATACAGGATAACTAAATGTATTGATGACTTTCCTTCCAGAATTTCTTCAGAAAGCATGCACCTAGTGAGACTGGACCTCATGGAATAAGTGCAGAGGTGATGGATACGTATGTTAAGAGCTGTGGTAAGCTGTGACAGTACTACAACTGATAATTTTGTATCTGAAATATAGTAGTTGGGGTTGATGAGTTACTGAGGCACTTCAATTTATATGTCAGCAGCTGGAGGACTATACAGCTACATGCTGTCAGAACCTCTGTTGTAGCAAGGGTAGATCTTGTTTGTATAGCCAGTGAGGTCTAAAGCTTATTCAGCAGACCAGTCATTAAGTGATTTGCTATTAAACTTAACTTTCATTTTTAATTGAAAGATTCTAATGAACAAGCTGGTCATTAATTTGTCAGGACTACAGCAATGTTCAGGCTTCTTGCAGCTTTCAGGGTAAAATAAAAAAGTTTTTTTCTGGTAATTAGCATCAGTGCATAGATTTTTGAGATAATGTAAGAGGATTTTCTTTCTACCTACTTTTTGGGGGAAGGTGGGTATGTGAAGAGTATTGCAGAACATTCCAGCTTTTTTCCCATTATGATCAAGGAGTCTGCAAAGCCCTCAAAGGAGAATGCTGCTGACTAATAAAAGGGTAATTTGGAGTTGGACATGCAGTATACTGTTCCTCTCCTCTGCCCTCTTTCCTTTTCCTTGAAGAGATTAGAAGTTAAAAATGCTTTTCTTTCTAGCAGTAATCTTATCTACGATGCTTCTATTTCATCAGTTAGATTCTTCATAATTCAAGGAGGTGTAAAACGTTTGTTCAATAATTAATCATGTGTATTTGAGGTAGAAAATTCTAATTTGCTAGTAAAGCAAGTTATTTTTTTCTTGGATTAAAAGAAAATGTGGTAGTGTAGTTTTTGCTCAGTAAATGGATGCATAAAGGATGCGTAAGATACATGTTAAAACGTTTTCTGTCCATTAAATTAAACAGCTTTTTCCTACAAAAAATGTCATTCAATTGTTGTTCTACAGTTTTTTTTTATTTTTCTGATGCAGTCGTTAGAACTTCTTAAAATGGTTCTGATTAGCTGGTGAAAGAAATCAGTGTTTGCATTATATATAATTTATTTATCACATCCTAGCTCTCTTCTTAGCTTGTAAATACTACTGACATATACATTCAGTTTCATATCAATGTCTAATGCTTGTTTACAGATTGATAAATATCTTTAAATGTTTGAAGTGTGTACATTTATTTTGCCCAAAGTGCTTTGAAGTATCTTAATCCAAGTATTGAAAGAAATTGGATTTTTTGACACTATTATGCATATAATTGGGTAGCAAAAGTTTAATTTAGGTTTCTGAGTAAATTTGAATTTTAGTTTATTACTTTGTGTTCTTCATATTGCTGATAATCTTGATTATTCTTCCCTGTCTTCTGATCCTCTGTGGCATACTGCTTGTGAGCAGAAATTAAGGTTACATTATATGCTGTTGTTAACCACACAGAACTTGTTGCTCTCCAGGAAGGGTACTTGTATTGATGCTTACAATTTACTTGTTACAGCTGGTTATTGTGTAATTACTTACATCCTTGGAGTTGGAGACAGACATCTGGATAATCTTTTACTAACAAAAACAGGTAAATTTGTTTTACTAGTATAATTTTATAATGGCATTTGTTTAATTTCAGGTATGTGGGTAATGTTCAAATGTATTGACTCAACTTTCCTTGTGGATTGAACCCACTGAGTATTGGAGGTCAAAATATATTCTTATACTATCAATGTAAGAGTGTATTGTCTCATCTAAGATAGTGTTTTATTCAGTAAGTCTATGTTTAAATTTAAATTACTAGTAGTATAGAACCATAGAAGAGTTTAGTTTGCAGGGGATCTAAAGGATCATTTACTTCTAACCGTCCAATAAAAGTTACATGACAGATGAATAGTAAGGAAACAAGTAGTTTAATTTACTCTAATCAAATTAGGCAAGAAATAACTGGTATGTGGCATTGATGTTTGTGTAACCACAGCTTATATATCTGAAGTCTGAATTCTCTTGAACAAAGAAATGTTTACAAACACTGGATTTCTGCATAGATTTCTCTTGGTTTATTTTACTATCTTGTATTCTACTTTGGCATTTTTTTATACTCATGAAAGCTTGACCACAGAGCTGTTTAAGAACAAGAGTTCTTTCTTAAGTTATGCTGACCTTTTTGAAAGTAGTATGGCTATAGTATAGGGTAAAACTTGTCTACCTTTCCTAAGATCAAAAAACCTGTTGCTGTTGTCTTAAACTTGTATAAATATCATACTTCATTTTTTTTCTAAAAAACCTTATTCAAAGCTGAAAAAAGGAAAGTAGGTAGCTGTAAAGTAATTCTAACTCCAGGTATCCTAATTGATCTTCATCAAACAATTTAATTGTTCATTAAATTGTTACGTTCCTGTTTTTCAGATTTTCTAACATGCAATTGAAAGCAATTTCAAGATGTGCTAATTGCATGCCAGTTGCATTTTAATATTTTATGTACACTGTTCCTAATACAGTAGACATTATGGCAATTATCAGTTGTCATGTGGAATTAGATATAATCTTCATAACTTCCCTGATATCCCTGATAATTCTCTCAGATTTTACCCCAAACTGGGAATGCCACATAAGACCTTGCAGAGCAGCATTCATGTCAAAGTCTTCTCTTGCCTCTGAACACGTGGTTTTTTTTGTTTTGTTTTGTTTTGTTTTTTTTTTTTTAAGGAAACCAAGCCCTTGAAAAGTAAAAATCCGAGTATTCCATCGGACTGACTGATGGTCAGGATCATTTCAGAGCCCTGCTGCAGCTGGGTTTTTATTTTTCCCAGCTATTTGTAGAAGGGATGAGGTTCTAAATGTCCTACCTGTTACAAATACATGATTGATGGAGCAGAAGTAGTAGAGATTATTATTTAATGAGATATATCACAGAATTATAGAATGGGTTCATTTGGAAGGAACCTTAATCTTATAGTTTCAATCTTCTGTCACTAGACCAGCCCCATCCAACCTGGCCTTGAATGCTTCCAGCTGTGGGACATTCATTCACAGCTTCTCTAGACAACCTGTTCCAGTATCAGTCTAAATCTACCTTCTCTGTGTTTAAAGCCACTATCTTTTGTCCTGTCTCTACATTCCCTGATCAGAGTTCCTCTTCAGCTTTCTTACAGACCTCCTTTAGGTACAGGAATAGTACCTAATAGGTACAGATGGCTAAAAAGCCATCTTTTCCTTTGTTACAAAACCCATGTGTCTTGGCAGTTCAGAATAAGAGACATGTATTTTGACTATCTCTAACTACTTTTTGTTGCATGATATGTATTGATAATGGGCCATGTAGAGTGTGTAATGTTAGTGATTCTAAATTACTAAGTTCTGTAATGGTTTAAAAGAAATAATGCATGGTTCCAGCTGAAATAATGATTAGGATTCAAGAGGTGCAGTCTCTGTTTATTTCAAGTTGAACCATGTTTATATATAAATAATCTCTAATTTGAAGTTAAACATTTCATTTTTGCAAGAGTATGGAATGTTTAAAAACAAACAAAACCCACAATGCCAATGAAGACAAAAACCCTGAAATACTTTCTTACTTAGGAAACTGCTTTTCAGAAAAGCATCAGTTTTCTTGTCTTTTTTTTTATTTAGAATATTTCATTTAATTCTCTTCCCTGCCCCCTGAGTAGCAAAATAAAAATGCTGGATATCTTCTGTGTTTCAAGTGGAATTCTAGATAGTTTGCCTTGCTGATGAACCTATTTTTTTGAATTTCTCTTTGAATGCTTAGTGAGCGCTTAGCAAGTATGGAAGAAAATAGTCTCGGATGAATTGTATTGAGGTTCTCAAATAAGTGGGAGTACAAGAGTTTACCGTCAAGCTATTATAACTAATACAGTTAATATCGTATGATGGGAGAACTTAAAATATTTTAGTTGAAAATAACCTCATAGCTAGATGAAGTGCAGAAACCCTTAGTAAATTTGGATTTTTTTTTTTTTTTTTTCATGCTTACTTTTGAACCAAAGCTTCTGTAGATGTTTTGGTATCTTAAATATGTTCCTTTAGTAATGAAGAAGAGTTGGATGTTAAGTGTTTATAGTAAAGTAAGCATCTATTGAATGAGAAAAGTGTAAATACAATAACTTATCTGCAGAAATTAGACATATCCACATGGATGGCTTTGCAGTATTCCTGAGGCATATGATGCAGTGACTTAGAGTACTTCATATGGAAGTATTGGAAATTTAATTCTGGTAGAATGTCTTGAAGTAAGCTTGTGGGATAACAACTAAAGCAAATATGTTCTCCCTTATTTGATTGCAGTTCTGCAAATGAACATTCAAAAATCCGTCAGGAAGTCCCAATCATTTACATGATTATGGGTATAAAGTGTTTTTTATTACAATGACTGTTTGCATAGTCAGACTGGTAATAATTTAGTTTTTTAGAGGTGAAGCTATGGTAGGAAGTAACAACTCTGTAGCTTAGTTTGACTTAATAGAACAATTTAAGCTGAACAGCAGATGGCAGTGCAGATCCACAGTAAATTTGGTGCCTGAAATTATTTTCATTTGCTACCTTTGTTCTCTCACAAACCAAGACATTGCAAGTTGGGAAAGCTAACTTCTTAGCTGAAGGAATGTAAGCTAGAAACACTTTTCCTAAATGCTATGATCATATATGCATACTTTCTTGTCTACATTTAAACAAATTTATTACTTTCAGTATCCCTGGACTAGAAATCCATGTCTTTTACTTCTAGGGCTACAAAAACGTGTCTCAGGGAATCAGATCTGTTTCACCTCTTATTTTAAGTAACTTCCCTTTCTTCTTCTTCTCTCTTTTTTTTTTTTTTTTTTAATGATTAATATCATAGCGTTGGAATTTAACAGTCATTTGGGAACAGTAATAAATGAATACTTGTTGTCCAGTTTTGTCTTTATCTCTAATTTATAAGCATCCTAATAATTATAAACTTTTTCAAATTAAGATGTAATAAATCTGAAACTGGATTAGAAAATGGAATAGAATCATAGAATAGTGTCATAGAATCACTCAGGTTTGAAAAGACCTTTAAAGATCATCGAGTTGAACCGTGACCTAAGATGTGGCACTCAATGTATGTTGAAGGAAGGGGAAAAACAGCCTTTAAAGGAAGCATGGAGTTCATAAGATGTCTGATATTGAGAGGACGGATGAGAGTACCATGCTATGTGGTATGAAATACTAATCATAGTGAAGGTGTCTGAACCCTGCCGAAGTTTGCTGAGGAGTCTCCATCCTTGTGAATATGTTGAAGTGCTTTCTAGATGTGGTCCTGGGCAAACTGATCTAGGTGGCACTACTTGAGCAGTGAAATTGCATGAGATGTTCTCTGGAAGGTCCCTTCTAAATTGATCTGTTCTGTGACTTAAGCAATCCTCTAAATCTGATTTGCAACTTATGTAACTCTAGGAACTCTCAATTGATGATGGTGTTCTGTTACATTATTTCAGAACTGAAAAACGTTACTCAATAGCTACTAAAATAATATGAAATCATAGAACAACTTGGATTGGAAAGGACCACAAATACACATGCAGTTCCAGTATCCTACTGCAGGTGGGGCTGTCAACCATTAAATTGGGCATGCAATCAGGTTGCCCAGGACCCCATTCAGCCTGGCCTCCAAGGATCATCCACAGTTTCTCTGGGTAGCCTGTTCCAACACCTCACCACCCTCTCAATGAAAAATTTCTCGTCGAACATCTGATCTAAATCTCCCCTTTTTTACCTTAAAACATATTATCTCATATTGGGGTTGCCCCAATCCAAACGCAGCACCTTCTGCTTGATCTTACTGAACTTCATTAGATTAACATGGGCCTGCTTTTCAAGCTTGTTCAGATCCCTCTGGATGGTGTCTCTTCCTTCTGTTGTGTCAACTGCACCACTCAGCTTGGTGTTGTCAAATATGATGCTGACGCTGTTGTAGACTGTTGCACAGCTTAAATTCTTACCTAAGGTTATTTTTTCAAGTATCATCATATCTGAAGCTGACAGATATTAAATAAGTGGTGTTTTGAGGAGCTATACATTTGAAGAAAAATTGTTGATTTTTGCCTCCTTTCTTACAGATGTGTATCAGAAGGAATGACTGTGCTAATTAAATACACTAATCACTCTAAAAGTCAATTCTCAGAATAAAAATTCTAACTAAATATGGTCAGAGTTCTCTCTCAGAAGTTTTGGTTTGATAATTCTCAGGGATGATGCAGAATAACACTGTCCTCAACATCATTAACTTAGGGTGGAAAAACTTGTAAAAGATCCAGGAACCTTCCTGAGATTCTTCATCAACTATCTCAATCATTATTTTCTTTGCAGTGGGATTCCAAGTGTCATCCCTTGATTAAAAAACATTGAGTGCCTTCTATCATTATTTTATATTTTAGTGTGGTGGCTTAATTGATCTTGGAGCTAACCAAATAAAAATAAATAAAGCCTGTTTATTATTTTTCATATACTAAATATATTGAATGTATTCAAATTTAAACTTTTGGTGTACATTTGAGTCATAGCCTAAAAATCTGCTGAATGTTGAACCATAACTAGAGAAACTGTAGCAATAATAAAAGATGGCCTCATCTTTATTTTATTTATTTTAGGACTGAGATATAAGTTGATGATCTCCTGAAGTTCATTCCAACCCCTAGAATTCTGTGTGTGATTCTTTGTATGATATGATACATGTTCATATACATTCATATGAATGTACCTGAACCATTCAAAAACATCTTAGTTACTAGTTACGTTATTAATTAGTGCCTCTTATTCCTTACCTCCAAAGCAAACTAAGAAAAGATGTAATTACTGCCAGTAGAGTTATTCTTTTATTCAAATGTTGTCCCTTGACTCTTCATGATGACAGATTTGGATAAGTGAACTGAAAGCAGACCCTCCCCCAGACTCTTTAATTAAACAGTTTTTATAATGCAGTGAAGATGTCTGTATATATCAATGTCTACTTCAAAGAACTTTTAAAATTCATTTTTGTAAACTAACTTCTGTAACAGTGTGAAAGCACTATTCAAGGAAGTTTTTAGCACAGTTAGATATGCAAAAAGTCATGAATGTGACATTTATCAACTAGTGAATATTTAGTTTGCTTATTAAGTATCCTTGTGATTTCTCTCAGAAGATTGACCATGATGGAATTTGTTTTTTGAGTTGAAGAGTGCTTATGACAGATCTCAAACATGACCATGGAACATCCATTATTCAGTGATATGGACAGACAGATGACTAGATGAAAAATACTAGTTGTTACAGTTTTTTTCAAGAATGTTGATCATTGAAACTCACTGAAATGAATGGAGATGCTTCAGGTTGTAACACTGGCAAACAAATATAGAATGATCAGATCAATGAGGTTGGACAAGACCTCCTAGGTCATCCAGTCCAACTGTCCACTCACTACCAGTATTTCCCCACTAATCCGTGTCCCTTAGTACCACATCTAAATGATTTTTTTTTTTTTTTAATTTAACTCCTGATTCCTTCTTCATGCTGACTGCAGGAAGAATGGTTTTTCTCTGTCATAAGAAAATTGTTCAGCAGACCAGCAGTAATAGGGAAGTGAGTGTACATTCAAGGTGTGGGGACACCACACCTTGAATATTATGTTTTGGGTCCATGGATGCAAGGAGAAATCTGAATTGTGCAAATGTATGTGAAGCAGAGCTGATGAAAGGACTAGAAAACAAGACTTAAGTAAAGCAACTGAGAAAATTGGGGTTGTTTATTTTGAAGGAAGCTGAGAGAAAAATACAACGCTCTTTGCAGCCACCTGAAAGGAGTTGCAGTGATGCAGGTATCCATCTCTTCTTGAGGTGAAAAGTGATAAGAGTTGATCATACTTGACACCATTTTCTTCAGGAGAGGTTTAGGTTGGACATCAAAAAGAATTTCTTCATGGAAAAGACATTCAAGCATTAGAGTGGATTGGCCAGAGCAATGGTGGAGTCTCCATCTCTGGAGACATTTAAGGAACGTAAAGACAGTGTCTGAAGAACGTGGTTTAATGGTGGGACATGATATGTAGATTTTGACTTGCTAATCTCTAAGATCTTTTCTGACCTATATGCTTTTGTGGTTCTGTGAATTTTCATTTAATATTTTCCTTTTTAATATAAAACATTTTGACCTATTTTTTTTATTCAGCTGTAGTATTTTTGAAATGATGCATTTCAAAATTGAGTTTCAAACTGAAAATCGGTAGAACATTTTCAAAAACAATTTTTGCTTTATATGGTCAGTATTTACCTTTTAAGAAGCAAGTCAGAAGTGTTTCTAGAAAGTGGCTTCTTAAGAATTGATGTCTTACATTTTTGATGACTGCATTTTTGTTTGCACATATATAACTATAATCTTTAGATTATGCAAATGTTATAGTATTATGTTTGAAACTGGTGTTTCAGGTTTTTTTTATTTTGCTCCGTACTGCATCTCTCATGAGCTTCAGTAGTATTGAAAAGGGGAAATAGTTTTAAACTGGAAGAAGGTAGATTTAGACTACATATTAGAAAGAAATTCTTTACTGTGGGAGTGGTGAGACACTGGAACAGGTTGCCCAGTAAAGGTTGTGAATTCCCCCTCCTTGGAAGCATTCAAAGACAGGTTGGATGGGGCTGTGAGCAACCTGGGGCAGGGGAAGGTGTCCCTGCTGATAGCAGGGGAGTGGGAACTAGATGATCTTGCAGATCCTTTCCAACCCAAACCATTCTGTGAAAAGGACAGTGAATGATTCCCAACAAATTTATGGATAATACTGTGAACATTGTTTCAAATAAGCTCCAGGTAGGAATCAAAGTTGCCTCCTGGATTTGAAATGAGACGTATCTAATTTTTTTTTTTTTTTTTGTCAAGATAGCTGTAGTAATGTTGTAGACATAGTTGATCTGAGAAGGGAAAGGTAGTGCTCAAACGCTGTAACTTGTATTTTAATGTTGGAAAAACTTAGGAGAAACTTCCTCAAATTCAAAGCATGTTTGATATGGTAATCATGTTAACTCAGTTGTAAAATATACTAAAAAAAAATCTTAAACTCACCCAAACAAAGGATTTTAGGACCATTATTCTTATTTTCCTGTGGTAAAATTTACATATGACTGAGGTAACATATTGCGTGCCAGAGAACCAAATGCAATACTAAAAACAATGCACTATGTATATTAGTATTTTTATTTGGTAACAAGTTCTCAAGGACCAAAGAGATGTAATTGTATTTCGTCTCTTTGTTTTCATCACTGATTGAATCTTTATGAGTATATTCCATACGCTTAAAAAACACAAAACTCTTTCAACTGCTCTGAATGAATTTGGTATTAGCTTTAAGTCTGTAGTTTCAGCTTGATAGCTGAAGATATAAGCATTACAGAAAGCAGTGAATTGTGCTTAGTGAAAACAATTTTTCTTCTAGAAATCGTACCTAGAGATTTATCTATTTTTTATTACTGTTTGTCATCAAGATTTGATACGATATGAGTTGTTGAAGTAAGCAATTGCATTTACCTTTTGTTTTACAGGAAAACTATTCCACATTGACTTTGGTTATATTTTGGGTCGGGACCCTAAGCCTCTACCTCCTCCAATGAAGCTGAATAAGGAGATGGTGGAAGGCATGGGAGGCACACAGAGTGAACAGTACCAGGAGTTCCGTAAGCAGTGCTACACAGCCTTTCTCCATCTCCGCAGGTAACAATGCTATTTCATTGCTAAGTTATTTGAGCAGAAGAGCAAGTGAATAGGGGAAAGTACTTATGCTGAAAAATCAAAACCTGTCTACATTCCTAATTCAAACAGGAATTTATGTGAAATAAAGGAAAGAAAATAGCACTTTTATAATGCGGACCTTGAATGTATTTGTCCTTTAAGTTAAGATCCCTGGTTTTGGTTTGTTTAGTAATCTCATCAGCTGTTTCATCAATTCTGGGGTATGAAGTTGTATCTTGTATTTTGGATGTTGTTTTGCCTTTAAGCAGGTTTTTCTCTAATTATTCTTTATTACGTATCAAGCACTTAAATCACGTACTGCTTTACTGCTTTACCCTCTTCCAGTTTAGGTTAGTGATGATCAGAATCAAATTCTTTCCCTTGAGAATGGCATACATAAACTTAACTGGATGAAGGTCCTGCAGGACAAGTATAAGCTGCTGTGTGTAGTAGTCAAGTATGATAGTAGCTTCTGCAGATACCTGCAGGAAGTTAAATCTTTTTAGACTTATTTACAAGCAAGCAAATCACTCTTTTAGATCTGTTTCAACAGAACACAGGTGAGCACTCTTGTGGCCAGTGATTGACGTAATGGTTAAAGTTCCTTCAATATCTGGATCACATAGTAAAAACCTCCAAGTACGTGAAAAAAAAATCAATTATATGAAAAGAATGTGAAAATTGCATGTATGTAATACATAGACAATGGTAGGAAATATCAGAAAAAAGATACAGGTCGTTCTCCTGCTAATAGTGAAATGAACTAAAAATAAGGAATTTTTTTAATAGACTGATGTTAATAGATTAAAAGCAGCGCAGCAGAAAGAAAAATTATGATGCATTGTTGGCAAACAATACGTATAACTTAAGAGAACAGTCAGAAAGGCTGACATGTATTCCATATTCTAAATGCTACTCAAAATTCTTTGCTAATATTGTATTTGTTAGTTTTGGGACAATTCAGAGTTGTTTGTGTTGATTAAATCTAACTATTTCAGTAGAAGGGTCTGTTATATTGTTGAAGGATTATCTGTTGCATTAACCAGTATTTGCTGCAGAGATCATAGTTGAGCATGAAGTATAGTGGTGATTTTGGAATAAAATTGAACTGCAAATCAGTATGTTTTCATTTTAATTCTGGAATTGTAGTTGTAATTATTCTCTCTAATATTTGTTCAGGATAATAGGAAAGTATTTTTAAATTGTTCTGGATATACATTTTCAAGGCTTTTAACATAGAAGAATAATATTGGTATTACAGTAACTATTACATTCGATAGCTAGAATTAAAAATGATCATGATTACTTGCTTAATGGGTTAGGAAAAGAATCAGTAATTAAAGAGAAATGGCTTAGCTCTAACAGTTCTATATATTGATGCAGACCTATTCACAGATATGTCTTCTGGTGAAGTATGGTGAAATCATAACCTCTTTACTAAGTCAAATTTCAGATACCATGTTTGTCATCTTCTTCAATTCGTTATATTCTTAATTTCACTGGGTTATAGACAGTTCTATGCGTGTTTCAAGTGCTGCATCTCAGTCTTTTAGTGTTTGTGGTAGGATGTACTTGCACAGCAAAAACAAAAATAATTTAAAGCTTGTAAGTGAAAAAAGTTATGTTCTTTGTTTTAGATAGGAAGTAGTTTGGTACATGATCATTGTTGAGAGCTTTTCTTGGTTCTTTTGTTAATTTACTTTTTTTCCTGGGAGATACGTCTTACTACTTTTCTGAATGCTGATCAGTTCTGTGTATTTGTCAGCAATACTCTAATGAAGTAGCAGCCTTTGAGTGCTAACGCTGCTGCAGGGCAAACTGTGGCTGGAGAATTTTAGTTCTCACTTGATTTGCGGCAGCATGTTACGCTCTCACTGTACATGTTGAGCTTACTTAAAAATGTTCAAGTCCTGTTTTTTCAGCTTTTCCCTTCCCCAGTGAATTCCTATTTCACAAGTCTTCAGCAGGATCCAGTAGAAAGGAATCTAGCATTCCTTACTGGCATCTTACTTACATCTGTAAGTTTGTTTTGTTTAGTTTTAGAGTGGGATTCTAGATTACATTACTCCTCACCAGGTTTGATGTTCAGTTTGAGTAAGTGGTTACAGGTGGGAACAAAAGAGTAGATAGTAACTATGGTCTGAATCTATAATTTGAGCTGAGATTTGTTCAATCTCAATGATAATATCCAGCCAGGTAGAACAGAGTGTTTTTCCCAGACTGTTCACAATGGTATCATAGACAGATGGGTGGTAACGTAAAGAATGAAGAAACTGTGAGTAGCAAATGTAAAGCTGTGATGACTGTAGGAAAGGACTGATTATTTGAAAAGGCTGTAGCTAGGCAATGCAAGGACTATATAGTCTTCTAGAAGAAGGGTGTTGATTGTTAAGAGATAATGTGAAATAAGTGGGATCAAATCAGTATTGATGATGTTTTTGCTATAAAGAACAACTTTAGGAAGAATAATACCATAGTGTGTTATAGTTGGTTGGGCGCAGTAGTGACTGAAGAATATATGTATATATGCGTGTCTGGAAGAGACAGAATTAGTTTCAGAGGGTCCCAAGTGTCTCGCTCCGATTTATAGGAGGAAGAGGAGGCTCTTCTAATATCTGTATACCTGGTGTGAGATTAAGAAACAACGGTTCAAATGTTGCTCCGACCAGTTTATTGCAGATCTTAATTAGAGAGATGGGGAAGGGGAGGACAGACACCATTATGAATTGGGGTAATGGGGAAGGGAGGGAGGGCGATAGAAAAGATAGGAAAGAAGAAGCAAGGAGTCTTTATAGGAAGCAAGAGGAAGATAGTCACCACCATGGATCCAGTGTGGTTCATAGTTCAGCCATTGATCTTCAGTAGTGGTGGGTCATCAGGCGTTGTTGTTCTGTTGACGACAATGATAATCATGGGATGATGGCCCCTTTTCAATGCTTTCAAAGTGGTCGAGTCAGCTGTCTTTGCAGTGACAGCTCAAATCCAAAAGTGATTGAGTCAGCTCTCCTTGGAGTGGCAGCGTCCGGCTTTGGGGTCTTAGCGGAAACTCCTTTGTTCCTATCTCCCTGGCCTTGCCAGCAAATGAGAGGGAGCAGGGAGGCGCCAACTTGTATCTTGCCTTCACAGGATACAGTGGCATAATTCCCCAGTTTCCTCATAGCAAGCTGGAGTTATTTGGTCACAGGCTAGATCTTCCGCCATTAAACACTCCTGAGCACTCTCTTCTGGAGGCAAAGAGCTAAAATTGTCCACACAGTGATGTTGATTGCCACACAGCAACGCCCATCGCTCATCTCCTAGACAAGTCAGTCTTATCACAAGAAGTACCTCAGGAAGCAAGCTTTGAGCCAAAAAACAAAGAAGGATTCTCACACCACCCCGTGGCTCAAAGATCGCTTGAAATGAAGCATAAGTGACCTTCTGTGGTCGTGAGGAAAAGGGAGAAAATAAAGACAGCAAACAAGCAGGAGGGAAGGAGGAGGGGGAGAAGGGGAAGCTAATAGTTACACAATTACTACAAAAGATTTCTTGGGCTTGGTTACAAATGTTGCCCTGATCTGTTGGACTTTTTCATTATTAGTTGAAGTGATTACAAAGTACATGGAGGATACAACCTGTATAAGTTGGATAAAACATGGACTCATACTAGGTACAAACATAGGAGTTGCAACAGCACACAAAATAGGATAGTTTCACCCAAGGGCATTTTGTTTAGCAACTTTTTCATTATCATGCTATTTTTACAATAGAACAATTTGAGTCATTCAATTTGCCACAGACACCACCCGGTGACTCTTCAGGAGTGGTGACACAAATGTTATAATGAATAAAAAGTAGAAAATGAAAAGAGACAACCATACATTTGGCAATAACTATACATTTAACAATAACCAATAATAATAAATAAGTAAAACAAATAGAGCTATTTGTGTCAGCTTCTTTCCCCACCCAGGAACTCCCAGTGTAAGCCAGGATCCAGATGCGAATTCTTCAGTAGAGGTTGTGGTTTTATGAATAGCCATACAATACTACACTTCAGTTAATTCACCAAAAGCATAATGTTTTCTAAAATGATTTAGTGTCATGAGAACTCTCCACTTGAGCATTCCCAAAGCAATTCAAATGCTGAGAGAGATAAATACTAGTTTGGCAAGTTCAAGTATTGTTACAGTCTACAGAACATTTCACAGGATAGTGTGTGTAGGATACCACCACAGTATAAACCATCAAAGAGCAGTAATCCCAGAAACATACACATCTCTTATCAAAACTCAGGCACTTTCCAATAACAGTGTTTTGGATGGAACTCCTGGACTGGTGTGACACTGAAAAGCATCAGTACAAAAGGCTTTATGATAGATTTCTTTTGTGACCACATCTAATACACATTAGATGGGTCCCTTGATTCATTTCCCAGTTTGTTAGGAATTTGGAAACACTGTGAAGAAGTTACACATAAATCATAATGAGTTTGATAAAAAGGGTTCAAAGAGAGGGTCGAAAGAAATGGTATCACTGTGCAGGAAGTAGCAGTAAGCCAGGATGACCTATAAAAACTCCGAACCCACTTGTGAAGTTTTACAGATCCTAGGACTAATATCAATCACCTCCCACACCCACAACAACACAAAACATAATACTATGGGGGAAAAAAAAAAAAAAAAAAAGTAATCAAGAAGTATATTCAGTATTTTAGCATGATCAAATCTTCAGTATTTCTGTCACAAAACATAAATGGTTAAAAAGTCTATTTGCCTTTTTGTGTTCTGTTAAGGTCCCACAGGGATCTTCTGTAGAATAAAACAAGACACCGACTTGCCCTTTTTGGGCTTTGTTAATATGGTTAAAAAATGAAGGAACAATCCAGCAAGTGTTGATGTCATATTCCTTTTTCGGGGTGTCTTTAGACTTCCAAGGATATTTGTTAAGGAATTCCGTTAAGGTTTAGGGAAGCGCCTCAGGTTAGCTGAGTCAATCCACAC